ATTTAACATACTAGTAAAGCTATTTATCAATATATTATGGATTAGCTTCAGTATTCAAGCTACGAAGTCCTGAAAGCGGTCAGATAAGTTACACTTAAGTTACAGATAAGTATCCTGAGTCATAGGAAGATGTATGGTAGGCGTCAGCAAGTTGCAGCACATTTCCACTGAGAAAATGCGATTTCGGTATGGTATGAGCGATATTATCAAGGCAGCGTACACCAGGAAGAAGAGCTGGGCCGGTCATGTGACAAGAATGAGAGAGAACAGATGGACAAAGCGGACTGTCGAACAGCAGTCACGTGATGTTAAAAGAACACAGGAAAGGCCATCAGTGCGGTGAAAGGAACAAGTTGAACGGCTGTATGGAATTATGTGGATAAGAGACGTGCAAAGTACAAAACAGAAGTTGCCAGTTGCATCAGTGACGAGAAGAAATGCAACGATAAATGCGAGATTATTAAAGTATCGAAGCATACTCCTGTAAATACAAGAAACCTAAGAAACCAAGAAACTTCGCCTCAGTGGAGAACTAGAAGATGGAACTGGGCACATTCCAGGAAGTAAAGAGAAATCGTAGGAACATTAGAAATATCAGAAAACTTCAAAGCATTCTTCGGAGATTAAAAAACTTCAAAAATCAATAAATCTGACGGATCAAGGGACCGTTGGAAACATAGAAACCAAATTTCTCCAGAACATTTCATCGCCCTACAAATTAAGCCTGTACCAGAGAACACCAAATTTCTCAGGGAATCCGTAAGATTCCGAAACTACAGAAAATCAAAAAATTCAAGAACCCCAGGAGCCAGGAAAGCCCAGAAACCGAGGGACCAAAGAAACCCTGGAAACATACGGACCCAAAGAAACCGTGGGAACCAACTTCTGGGACGACCAATGCACCCTTCCAGGAATAAAATCCAGGAAACCCCGGTACAGGTTTGTTAAGAAAATTGAGGAAGTGTTGCTGAAACTTAAAATTTTCGAAACGTCCCCTTCTGTTTACATCAACGGAACATATTGG